AAAGCGCACATCCAGTCTGGCATCGGATTACCAAAATCATACCACGACGGGTCCCTAGACAATCACTGGGTGCTGAAGCCTGAAACGTGACAGGTGTACCCGTGCGGCATACACATTTCTTTTGAGCATGCTTCGTGATGTTACAAAAACCATCCATGGATCATCACATGTGGGCCTCTCTAGCTCCATCCCCAATGGGGCCAATGGTGCTGCTACGCTGTGGGTCCTATCGATGCTGCCCACAGATCGTCTCTTGGACTTACTCAACACCCCTCTGTCAGTTCCCAGTGAAGGTAGCGCAACATCCGTCTAGTGCTACCCTCCACGGAGTAGCTCATGACCAATCAACACTCACATGATTGCAGCTATCAAAGCTTTGACAATATCAAGATCAAGACGCTACTCTTTCCGCCCTGGTGCATGCATGGGTTCACCCGCCCTCACTGGAAGCCGTAGGACACTGTTCGCCAAGCGCATATGCTGATCAACACACCGAAGCTGCTAGCGATCGTCGTCATGGGACTGGCTCGTCGCTGCTTGCCATGGCCAAGCTCTCGTGTGGGGAGCATTGCGCCTTCCAAGATCAACAGCAAGCTGCATTGAACTTACTTTCTGACTTCCCTACCGTCGTGGGATTCAAATTCTGCTCATTCCCTTCCTTTCCACATGGTTATTCGCACAACTATTCATCATGCCTAGTCAGATACAAACATTGATCGGAAAGATCAGGAGAAAGCCTACGCAAGCAAGCGATGGCAGAACGGCGGAAGCCGCGAGCGGGCTGAAGAACCAACAGAAGACCGGCATTGTCAGCGACATTAGAGGTCTCGGTGTTAAGGATGCCAAATTCGCTCTCGACGCTATTACAACATTGGCATCAGGCGAGCCTTTGGACGATAAAGATCTTCTTCTTGAGAAGGGAGTCCAGATGCTACAGGGACTGCCTTTGAACAGCGGTCTCAGTGCAAAAGTCTCAGACGGTTTTATCAGCATGCTCTGGAATGACCTGCCCCACCCTACGCCTACACATGCTGGACCTTCAGCAAGATACCGGAAGCACGACGGCTCAGGAAACAATCCTCACAACCCTGAGATGGGCAAGGCAGGATCGCCGTATGCGCGCAACGTGCCTCCGACTAAACCGAAAGGTAAGTAATCCCCCCGTGCGACAGACTTGCGAATTGGGACTGACAACTACCTGTAGGACCAAACTTGCCCGACGTTGAAGACGTGTATGAGGCGCTCCTCAAGCGCGATAGGCCTTTCCGCGAGCATCCCTCTGGCCTCAATCGCCTGTTCTTCTCTTTCGCAACTATCGTCATTCACGAATGTTTCCAAACCTCTAGGACAGACCCTTGGATCAACGAGACTTCGAGCTATGTTGACCTCAGCACCTTGTACGGCAACACAGAGAAGGAGCAGCCGCGCGTGCGAACATACAAGAATGGCCTTATATATCCAGACTCTATCGCCTCCGAGCGCATCATGATGATGCCTCCTGGTGTAGTCGCTGTACTCTTGATGTTCTCGAGGAACCACAACCATGTTGCGGAATCATTACTGTCAGTGAACGAGGACGGCAAATATAAGCCGTGGGATAGTTTAGACGAGGCGGGCAGAAAATGGTAAGTCTTAAACACCTTCCACTCCCTAAATGGGTCTAACACTTTGTTAGGCAAGACGAGGACATCTTCCAGATTACTCGCAATATCAACGTTGGCTTTTTTGCTTCAGTCGTATTGAAAGACTACGTCGCTGCCATCTTGAACACACCACGAGCCAACTCAGAATGGTCTCTCGATCTTGGTAAAGAGATCAAACAAGGTGGTACACGTGTCGAGCGCGGAACTGGCAGTCATGTATCCGTGGAGTTCGCTGTTCTCTACCACTGGCATGCTGCTCTCAGTGCTGCCGACGAGAATTGGATGGAAGAAATCATCCGTTCCGTTTTCCCCGACTTACGTCACATCGACGATGTAACAATCGAGATGTTCCACAAGGTTATGAAGGTGTACGGTCACGACTTGATGAACAAGAAGCCCTGGGAATGGACCTTCGGAGGCCTTCAGCGAGGAGCCGATGGCAGATTCAACGATGCTCAACTCTCAGAGCTGATCAAAGACTGCATCGAAGAACCTGCTCACGCTTTTGGTGCTCACGGTACACCAGCCAGTCTCAAGGTTGTTGATCTCATGGGTCAGTTACAAGCTCGTGAGATGTTCAATGTCTGCACACTCAACGAATTTCGTCGGTATCTTAATCTGAAGCCGTACGAAACATTCGAGGATTGGTGCTCTGACAAAGAGACGGCGCGGGCAGCCGAGCTTTTGTATGGTCATATGGAGAACATGGAACTCTATCCGGGATTAATGGCTGAGTGCACGAAGCCCGCTATGCCAGGAAGTGGCGTTTGTCCCGGTCAGACAACTGGTCGAGGTATCTTGGACGATGCTGTTGCATTAGTCCGCGGTGACCGTTTCCTGAGCTACGACTTCAACAGTAACACTCTTACGCAGTGGGGCGCGGCTCTGCTGTCAGAGAGTACACCAGGAGCATATGGCGGCGTATTTCCCAAGCTGCTCTTCCAGGGTCTCCCAGGTGGATTCAAAGGAACTTCCAGCTACGCGCTGCTGCCCTTCTACACGCCCAAAGCAGCTAAAGAGATTCTCACAGGCAATAAGGTGGTTGAACAGTATGATCTCAGGCGCCCTCCGAGCGATTACGACATCATCAGTGTCCAGACGCAAGAAGGTTGCAAGAAAGTGTTCGAGGACCGTGAGAACTTTGTTGTCATGTACCAGGCAGCTATTCGCAACTGCACGGCTGGACATGACTTCATGATCGGATGGGACGAGCAAAAGAAGCATGACGAGCGGTCCAACATCCTGCATAAGGTCTTCTTCGAGGAGGGTTTTGAGAAGAACATTGATGAGTTCTTCACGGCCAACGTACGCAAACTCATCAAGCAGAACTCACTTAAAGGCGCCAAGGGCAGAATGAGTATCGACATTGTTCGCGATGTTACCAACATTACGCCAATCCTCTGGCTTGCAGACCGTTTTGCACTTCCGCTGAAGACACAAGAGCAACCTAGAGGGTTACTCTCTATCCACGAAGCGTTTCTCGCATATCTTGTTCTATGTAAGTTACAACACGAGCCATTTCCGATCACGAACAGCCCGCTAATCAACTGTTAGTCATGTACCAATCCTTCAACATAATGCCACACAATGAGTGGAAACTGCGAGCAGGCGCGATGCAAGCCGCAGCACCACTTCGTTCGATCTTCGAAACCCACCTGAAGACACAGACAGGGCGTCTTGAAGGCCTAGTAGATTGGATGGCCAAGGGCTCCGCCTTTGAAGTAGGTCCACACGCTGATCGCATCTACCACGCCCTTGCCGACACCAAGCTGCCCATTGGCGACTTGGTAGGCGACTGTATCGGCATGGGAGCACCCGTGGCCGGAAACCTGACCCAGCAAGCCAGTCTGTTGATCGACCTATTCCTGTCACCCGGGTACGAAAAGTACAAGGCGCGAATTGTGGAACTGTCGCACATGGATCCCGCAAAATCGGACCGCGAATTACAAGGTTTCGTTTACGAGGGTATGCGCCATGTGGGCGTGGTTCCTGGTCTCCCTCGCGTTGCAACCCGAGACATCATCGTCAACGACGGTGTCCGTGGCCCCGTGTCCATCAAAAAGGGTCACACGATCCTCATTGCCACGTCCAAGGCTGCCATGGATCCCGTGGCGTTCCCTAACCCTGAGATCATGGATCCTCACCGCCCATTCAAAGAGTACACTCTACTCGGCCACGGTCTACATTTCTGCTTTGGCGCGCGCCTTGTCGGCCCTTCTCTCGCTGCCACGCTTCGTGAAGTGTTCAAACTGCCAAACGTACGTCGCGCGCCCGGTAAGCAAGGACGTTTTACCGTTACCGAGCATAAACTCGCGGGCATCACGATGCGGCATTATCTCGATTCTACTTCAAAGGAGAGTCCTATTCCGACAAGTCTGCGTCTGCATTACGATAGTGAGGATGTTGTTGCTAATGGACTGAATGGCCATGCCACAGGCGGGCTTACAAACGGACATACGAATGGGCTGGCTAATGGCCATGTCAACTATGCCTCCAATGGGCATGCAAACGCTGGTGGCGATAATGAGCATGGGAATGCTTATACGATCGCGCCTTAGGAAGGTCCAGGGCCGGATCCGCGTCCGGGTGCAAGTCGTCCGTCGGTGTCGTCGTGGTCGCTGTCCTCGAGTTCAAGCGATCTGCGAAGACGATCGGCTGGAGTGTTCTGTTGTAGGAGTGCAAGGGAGTAGGGTGTTGAAAGATGGGAGAGACAGGGTAGTATAAGAGACAAAGGAGGGGAGTTTATATGTTAAATTGGTCGCTAATCCTCATCGTGATGATACCACTGAACGTTTAGTTTGGCTTTAGTCCTAGCGTAGTAAAATTGATTTGCTGCATGCTTGTCTAGGTAAACCTCCAGTCTTGCGTGATATATATTGCGATCTAAGAGTCAAGGGAATGGTCGAAGTGAAGCATACTAGCAATACCATGTTTCGTGCTCTCTGCTACTTATCCTCGCCTTAACGATGTCTTGCCACCAGATAACAGGGTATCGAACAGTGCAATCAACGGATCAAGCATCAGGTGTTAACTTGTTGCCAAGTCCAATTTTACTAGCCCAGTACTCTTTGTTCGAGGTTGTCGATGCATATATAGCACTACAATCACGAATGAAACGATAAGATACCATGGTTCGTTCTTTTCCCCTCACAAACAAGCTTCAGAAAGAATGCCACGACAAACAAAATACACCGAGTAAAATAATCTTTTTTGCTGGTGAAAAATCCTCCGACAGCTATACATGTCACACATAACGCCATGCTTCCCAATCCAACATATTGATACATGAAATCTCCTCGTCCTGCAGAAAGAATAAGAACCCAAGACTGGAACAGCCCAAGAAGCCCACATGATGATCTATGCCATCCTAGGTAAAGGTGGAAGGGTATTAGAATCCCACCTCCTCTCACCCTCCATATCAACATCGTCATCGCTATCCTCAGCACTCTCATCCTCCAACGCCTCCCTCCTCTCCATCTCATCCACATCCATCAAGTCGCCATCTTCGTCCTCATCATCCTCATCTTCACTGCCGATAACAGGTCGCCCTCCTTCATTAACGTCTGGTAGCCCACTGCCCCTCTCCCCCTTGAGCCTCCTTCTAGACCCACTCTTTCCACCCCCTTCCCAGCGATCTAGACGACGCAGCGCCCTACTAAGCATCTTAGCGCGGTAGTAAGATTCCTCGCCGTGGTCGTTGACTTCGCCGCCAAAATCCAAAGGAACGAGACCAGAGGGCATGGGCGGCGGGGTCTTGGTACCGAGTTCGTAGTCGGAGAGTTGGGCGTATTGCGCATGCGATTCTTCGTCTGTATCGTAGCCATCTGCCATGCCTTTGCAGCGGATCCAGCTGCGTATGAAGGGGTTGGCTTTGCGACGGCGTTTTGCGGCGGCGGCGTATTCAATGCGAATTCCGCGGTCGAGGATGACGTCTACGCGCCGTCGTCGGTATTGCTCGACGGCGAGTTGGTGTTGTGTGAGGGGACGGGTTCGTTTGTGCGACGGATCGGAGCCGTTGAGTGGGAGGTAGAAGCCGTGTGGGCCGTTGAAGGTGGGCGCAGATGCAGAGGGGGACTGGCCGTCTTGCGAAGTTGGTGCGTCGAGTTTGGTCTTGAAGCTTCGTGCTGCTGGTGTTCCTCCAGCGCCTATCCCTGATGTGCGGTTGCGGGACCAATTCCCGCGGCCAGGGCCCTTGGCTGCGGGAGATGAGGCGGGGCCGTCTTCGTTGAGGAGGGTGTTTATGCGCATGTTGGGCGTAGCCACCTTCTTTGCTGTATTGTAGACGCTGTTAGGAGGTGATGCTGAGCGGGTTCGGTCGGTGTCTGAGGGGTAATCTCGTTCGATGATGGATTTGGCAAGCTTGCCACGTCCTCGTGCAGAACCTGTTGATGTTAGAAGAGTACCGCCTCAGGAGTCAAATGTATGGAACTTACCATGGGATGGCGACTGTCTGTCACGCCCAGGTGTCGAAGCACCGTCATCGGCGGCTATTGAGAAGACGGGGTTTTGATTGAAGCCTTGAGAAATGTTAGAATTGGTCCGACGTGGGGCGAAACGCATGCCGGTTGGAGTGCTCACCTTTTTTGTTGGTCCGTTTGGGGCCTGTGACGACTGGCGCCATGTCGCTTGCCAATATAGCAGTCCTCTCTTTGCGCTTAATCTCACCAAATGTCTTCTCTTCGACCGAATCGACGTTCTCCAGGGACTCTTGCTCGGGCGAAAGTATCTCGAAAGGCGGACACTTGATGGGAAACTCGGCTGTAGTCGGGTCGTCGGCGGGCCCCATCTGGCCAGGGCCAAAAGGATTCTTCTCGGCGGCTTCCTTGGTGAAGTCGCTCTCGAGATACCACCACATGAGCCATAAGAAGGCAGTGGCTCTGCTCTTGCTGCTCAGGTTAGAGCGCATGACGAGGTCGAAGAAATCGCGAGGCGGGAAGAAGTGCAGCTCGGAGATCTTGGGCGCGTATTGCGACAGGACAAAGATGAGGTTGACGGGGTTGGTGCGCGGGATGGAAGCTGCCATGATCTCCTCGATGGTGCTGGGCTGCTCTTGGTCCTCCGTCGCGCCCTTGAGGATGGACTTTAGGCGCGGCGCATCCTGCAGCTGTTTGTAGGCGTTGGGGTCTTGGTGGGCTTGGAGGGAGGGGATGGAGTGGTAGGTCCGTAGCTGGGCGCGCATCTCGGGAAAGACTGTGGCGTGTTAGAGGAGAGGTGTCAAGAGTCGCACAGGTGGCCTACAGTTGAGGGTGGTGTTCATGCGGCCGACGTTGACGAGCAGACACACCATGGCCATGTTGATGGCAGCCGGGCGCTCGGTCAGAAGCTTGTCCTTGAGGATCTTGCTGCACTTGCTGCTCTTGGCCATAGCATCGAGGTAGATGTCAGCAAAGGTGTGTCCGCTGGTGCTGTCCGACTGCTTAGTGAAGACGCGCTTGTCGTCCTCGAAGACGAGCTTGAGGAAGTCGAACTGGATGTCCTTGCGCCACAGGGGAATGCCATCGTCCTTCTTGAGGTGCTTGATCTTGTTCCCGCTGTAGACGGACGACACGCTCCCGTTGGCATTGCGGCGCGTCGTCGTCGTCGTGGCCGTGTAGTAGGGTCGGGCCGGGTCGTGGTCGTTGGCTGGGCGCGAGGCATCTGGCGCATCGCCGCCCGCTTCGCTCTCGTCGGGGACGGGCGTGTTTGCTTGGGATGCGTCGGGCTTGGAGTCGTCCATTTGGGGGTCTGCGGCCAGAATGTGTCGTAGGCTGTTTCGAGAGTCGGGCTCGTCGGCGCGCAGAGGCAGAGGCTTGTCGTCCATGACGGTGACGGCTCTGTGTCTGGTTCCCCTAGTTGTGCCTGTGCTATCCCTGTGCCGCCAGACTTGTGTCTCAAACAAGCAAGTACGTCAATCGCAAAGGAGGAAGATGCGTCCATGTCCCGAATGCGCCTCGACGCCCAAGCTCAGCCGCTAGCCCCCCGAACCAACCCACGTCGCTCGACGCCATCCCATCACGAACCCCACACGCAAATACCATGACTGCAAACGTCCTTGCAAGATTCAATTCGTTTTCCATGGGTAGTACCTACATACTCTACTTGCATAGCCAACCAGCCGCTCACATGGGCAATACAAGAACCCTCGTCTAGCATGTCCACGCCAAACATGTAACAACAAAAGTAACCAGGATATCTCAGCGAAGGTAGAAACCAAAAACACGTCGCAAGAAAGCGCCACGCTAAAGCCAGAGCCAAGCTGCCGCACAAACAATTCAAAGAGGGCGATGGGGTATGCAACACGGAGAAAAAGCAGACACACAACTCCTCGCGAGTCGTTTGTTTGCTTTCCCTGTCCATAAAAACGCCTGGTATCGCTGGGCAAAATACCTCCGTTACAAGACACGCGCAGGAAAAACAAAGAAAGAACCAAACCAAGCCCAAAGTAAAACCAAAGATCCAGTCCGTGGTCCTGAATTAAGAATCCAAAAATTAAACACAAATCTTGGTATACACATCCCTTCATGTATCGTTGTTCGTTGTTCGCCGGCCTAGTCCGAGTCCAAGGCTTGCTTCAACTCAGTCGAATGCTGTTTCTTCTCGTACCATTAGGGGGTTGGGCGTGTTGTTTTGCGAGTACATTCGTGGATCGTATCGTCCATCTCCGCGTTGTTGCCCGTTTGGTCCACCCGAGCCTTTGCGTTGGCCACCCATGCCCATGTTCATGAGGAGCATGCTACTCTCTCGTTTTCGTTGCCGTTGTTCGCGCGCTCCACTCGATTGTACCACTCCATTCAAGCTACTGTAGCCATCTCCAGAATTATAAGGTTGATCGTAGGCTGGGGTGTCGTAGCTGGGGCGCATCGGAATGAAGCCTGAGTCGTAGCCACTATATTGACCCTGCTGTTGCTGGTTACTGTATTGCTGCTGTTGCTGTTGCTGATATTGCTGTGGAGGTTGCGGAGGTGGATAGTTGGGAGCGCTGTTTCCTTGGTAGCCTTGAGGCGGTCGATCCATACGCTGCTGGAACGTTGTCTCGTTGTACGCAGGCGTTGGGAGATCAGAAAACATCTGCCTCCTTGGGGATCGAATAGCATCGTCCCCTAAATGAGACGTGTTGTTCCGAATCTCGTGGATCGGAGAGCTGGCTTCGTCAAGAGCAGCACCAAAAATATCGGTATAATCAGTAAGGAAGAAAGATATCAACGGAGCTGGGATGTTCAGAGTTGGTGCAAACACTATGCCGACGTTTCGCACCGTCATCTTGTTCACTCCTGAGTTGTCCACAATCTCAATCAGGAACGATGCGAGGTGTCGCAACAACTCGAAGTTGGGCCTAGGGAGTTTGTGTACAAGCACGTTGAAGCTCTGGATCTTCTTGCTACGCTCGTCCATGTCTACAATGTGTTAGCGAACTATCTATTTTCATCAATTTCAAGGCCAAATACTTACCGAGAACCTTGAGGAAATCAAGATGGAGTTCCCGAGTTAGAACAGAGGCCGGTAGTTCCCGCAAGTACAACTTCAGTAACGACGCAACAGCGTGAACATCGTAGTATTGCCCGTCGAGCAGCTTGATATCGCCTTCGTTGTTGAATCGATCGCGTAGGCCCTTGATGACAATGTTTGACCCACTAAGCCTGAAGATGCCTTCTTCGCTAATCGCCTTCTTCGCTCGGAGGTACTCCAAGCACCTGTAAACGACAGCTGGTATCGCTACATTGACTCCATCAGGCTGTGTGAACTCTACAGCTTCCATAAGTGGGATGCCAAAAACACTGCGGCCCGGGGGTAGACGATGTTCCGTGGTTGACTGCAGTGGGGTGCTGATTTGTACTGGCGCAAGGTCGGAAGAACCGCCGCGACCTCTGAAGCCGAATATACTGCGTTTCTTATCCTTGACTGCCGTGGGTCCCGCCATTAACTTGCTGCCCCAGCTTTCAGAGTCCTTGATTGGGGTTCCATTGCTAGGTCCGGAGATTGCAGGATAGTGACCTGAGTTGTCTTGGTGAAAAGATGACTCCTTGGGGGAGCCTCGTGAAGCCTTTTCCACCATCATGTCTCGGTGGTTGGGACCGCGAACAGGCGCTTGAGCTTGAACGGCGTCATCATAGCTGAGGCCCTGTAAGCGATCTTGCTCTGCCACATCAGGGCTGTCTCTCCGCTGCGAGCGCGTTGAGTCTTGACTGGCCTGTTGCTTTTGTAGACGTGTGGCAGAGGGGACACGAATCTCGATTGGTGAAGTTTCATCTGGTATGTCGACGTGCTGCAAAAGCGCCTCAACCCAAGCATCTCGCTCTTCATCGTTCTCTGCACACAGCACATGGCGAACTAAGCTTGTCGAGTCTTTCCGCTTTGGTTCCAAAATGAGGAAGGCATGTCGATATTGATTGTCCTCGGAGTCATCCTTTCGTTGTGGCGATTGGTTTGACTGCTGTTGTGATTGTTTCCCAATTTGTGCATTCTGCAACTTGATCGTTCCCAGATGCGCACCACCTTCGCCCTCGAAGTACCTAAACTCTGAGCCGTCCAGAACGAAGAAACGTGCCTTCCAGCCCCCAAAGTTCTTGCCACGCTTAGTAAGGTAACCGACCTTGCGCTGCGTTCTCTGAACAGACACCGTTGGACCCGGTGTGGGCTCGGGGGCCAGTCTGTCACCAGCTTGTGCGCCAATGACATCAGTGGAAAGATATTCGCACACAATCAAGGCTGTCTTTTCGTTCATAGGGGTTTCTAGAACAGTATCGAAATATTGGTTCAGCGCGACCCTTCGAGCATCAATCTTGGCAGGAGCATGACCCCCGAAAAGACCACGATCTGGGAGTTGTCCCTGAAAATCGCACATGGACCTCAGCTGAGAGTCTAGGGAGGGTAGCGTGGCAATCGTTTTCTCCACACGCCATAGCTGTTTGTTGTCTGAACGAGCGTAGACGGCGAGAATGAAGACAGGGTCCTCCTCCTGTGGTTTAGGAGCTAGCATGCTCATGCGTGACGGCCGAAGGCGGGATGAGAAGACCTTGACTTGAATAGAAGGTAGTGCGTTGGGAGGGAGCAAGAGTCCAGGGTACTGGTCAGAGACGAGTCCACGATAGACATGCTCTGCATCCGGAACGTCGTTCAAGGTAGGGCTACTTGATGGCGATTCTGGACTAGGTTGCGCACCTGGTACTGTCAAGAGGCCTGTGGACGACTCTTTGCGGAGCTGATTAGAATGTTGACTCTGGTTGACTGGAGGTGACTGGTAAGACTGAGGTGTGTTTGGCGGGAGAGGAACTTGTTGCTGTACCGGCCGTCCAGCTGATTGACTGGTGGTAGTTGGCGACATGGGCGGTGATGCTATCGACTGCTTAGGGTTTCTTGGTAATGGTGACCCTAGTGGCCTATCGGTGGGTCTGGGGCTGGAAGGAAGTCCTGGACTCATGAGTGGCGATGCAACACTTCGGTTGGCCATCATAGAACTATCCGAGTTGGCAGGGCTGAGAAGAGCATTTAGAGAGTTGGCAGGTGGGTGACGGGGAGAGAGTGGAAGGCCCGATTGCAGCGCATTGAACTGACGCGGCGAAAGGGGAACCGGGACCGCCTGAGGTTGATCGCCTGCTGGTGTTTCAGATGGCGTCGCCTGTTGTTTGCTCTTGCTTTCGCTTTTCTTCTTCTTCGACTTGCTTCTAGCTTCCTCGTCTTTCGAATACATAGCTTCGCGGACTCGATCGTCTTCCTCCCGAGTCTTCCTCCTTCCCCGCAGCTCCACAACAGGTATCTCGTCCACTTCCAATGTATCATCGTAGTCTGAATCAACATCGTCGCCGTGCACAGCTTGGTGGAGATGTGCGCTAGTCGTAATGGGTTTCGAGAGGTTGAGCGGAGCTGGCGGGGCCTTGCGCAGAGGTTGTGGAGTCTTTCTGGGAGGTGATTCGAAACCGTCACCACCAATGACAGGCGTGGCCTGGATCAGCGATATCTGTGGAGGCTGGAGCTGTGAATCACTTGGGACTATTGTCACATCTGAGTTATTCTGGGGAGGCGTAGTCGGCTTCGAGGCCTGTTCTGGAGGTTGAGCAGCATCACCGGGCTGCAGCAATGTGGCGTCGAGGCCGAGACCTTTGCTACCAAGGCTAAGGGGTTGTACGGAATAGTCGGTGGGCGAATTCACGGTTGACGACAGATTCGATGCGGTGGAATGAGACGGCGAGGTCGCTAATTGCGAGTCTGGTATGAGATGTGGCGCGGGGTGCTCTTGTGTCAAGGGCGATATCTTGTGCTCCCCTGCTTTGGAGTCGCTGGGCCTGGCGGGCTCGCCAGCTGGCTCACTGAGGGCTGGCGACTGGCTAGTCTCGCGTTCCACGACCGAGTCGAAAGTGTCGGACTTCTGCAGTGAGCCAGGACCTGGTGGCACCTGTTCAGCATACTCCTTGAACTTCCTGCGGTAGCGGTCCTTGTCCTTCAATGCGCGCTCGAGATCTTTCTGCAGCCCAATGATCATGGACCGTTGCTTCTCGACCAGCCGCCAGAGCTGCGCATTGTGACTGGATGTGTTCTGCTTCTCCTTCCACAATGCCAGCATCGCAGCCTCTGGTGAGCCTGCTGTGGCTATCAGAGCGGCCATATCTGGTGGGTTCGCCGTGCTCGTATCTTGCGACGGTCGCGTCGCATGGTTGGCAGGAGGGCGGTTCTGAGAGGCGGTCGAAGATAGCGACGATGCTGCTGAATCTATTGACGGGTTGCGGACAGGCACCGTCGGTCTCGTCTCAGGCCGGTTCGGCCGCGATGGTGGAGGCATGGTGACGGGTGACGCTGGTGGGGAAATTCCAGCCGAGGACAGCGTGGGTGACGACACCTGCCGGAGTTTTGCATACGCAGACGGCCTCGAAGGCTGCGTGAAATTTGGGGTGGGAACGTTGGGTGGTGTAGGCGGATGCGCTGGCTTGGTTGGGCGAATGGGCGAGGTATGATGTTGCTCCTCCGCAAGCAATGCGTCAAGCTTCTCGCGCGGACTGCGCGGTTCGTCAAAGCGTGGTGAGTCTTGATAGGACAACTGCTGATATGAGAGCCCGTTATTGCCAGCTGGGTACAACGGACTCGGGACGGGCTTGCGACGTGCTCGGATTTGGTGTTGCTCGTCCGCAGTGGCCGGCACGTTGTGTGGGCGCGTCGAATCGTCGCGAAGGCTGCGAATACTCTCGACGAGCGACGGCGAGGATAGAGAGTGGGAAGGCGACGACGGCTGGTGCTGAGGGATGTGATGTGCCGCTGGTCTTTCCTGAAGCATATGCATGTCTGTATTCGTCGCCGCCATGTTCAAGTCTCAAACGGGCTAGCCGACGACCGGGATATCTGGTCGACAGTATAGCAGATAGTTAGTGGGGATTAGTGTTTCGGTGACGCTCTGAGTGTCTGGTGAATCCAAAGCTGCCACGCTCAGCAGTCTCGTCAGCATCTGGGCGTCCCGCGCAGCTTGAGACAAGTCTCCGTCAGAAGGAGCAGCCGGAACAGAAGAGATTTGGGCTTGTAGACTGGTGGATTCTCATTCGGCGCCATAACCGCCCTTGTAGGAGCCGGGCCAAATTCAAGCCTGGTTCCTGCAGCAGAAGCGAGCCCTGGAGCCCTTTGTCTCCATGATCGCCTCCGTAGGCCTTGATGGCTGCGTCCCCTCACGTTTGAGATATGCCCAAAGCCATTTGCATCCTAGTCGACTACATGCCGGTGTAGGCGCCAAAAGTGTGCTTTGGGCTTCCCATTGGTCTAGCCCTGTGGCTTGCTAGCCGTAATCATCGATGAGCCATCATCCACTGACGGTCTTATGCAGAAACGACATGTCCGCGTGGTCTGCTGTCGCTGGTGCCCGCAGTCAAGCTGACAGAAGCCTGACGAGCCGAATTTTGCAAAATACCCACCCATTGGCTGGAAAGTAGATGATTTGACATACGAGTCTTGAGGGTGTATTGGCTCAACGGCTCAGTAATTTGCGATTCATGGTAGACTCGAAGGTGCATTTCCGCCAGACATCTGGCCGTCAATTGGGTCCACGGGTCGTAATCATGTCTCTGGCGCACGGATAGCGTTCGAGTTCAAGGGCTGGGTCGCTGCAGCGAGAAGGATTCTCCAGGCCGAATGGAGATTAGGCCTGTCGATCAGCTGCCATTGGCCCAATCCCTCGTGGCTGAATCAGCCGCAAGTCATAAACTTCCAAAGACGAACGCTGTCCGTGTGCCATGGTCAGCAAAAGCGCCCAGGTCATCCGTACTGCACCGCGGCTGGATATTCGAGCATCTCAACAGCAAACACAGTCGCTTGAGACGCTCATCAAAATCGTACGATTCTTACCGACCTGCGATTACATCTGAAACTCATCCGCCGTCAAGCGAAGTGTGCTGCAGGGAGCCGCTGATAGCTCAACGACTAGCCCTTAACAGTCGACGCATGGTGATCACAAGCTGCACCTATGCTGCAAGACTAAGCCAAGGGCTAGACTAACAATCCTTCTTTGCGACACTGTATCAGGGGTAACTCGAGTGGAAAAGGCCAAGAAACGGCTTTTGTTTTTCTGTTTCTGCACTAGTACCCGCAACGTGCCGTCAAGATGAAGTGTGACCGAAATCTGGAACGAATATCATCATTTGTACGACTAAAGATGCGCGGCGCGAGCAGCTCTTCTTCGCGCCTCGAGCACCGTTCGTCTCTCGACAGCATTCACACCCCCAACGTATGCAGGGTCAACCTGAGGCAGACGCGATCCCAGAGAGGTGGCAAGCATGATCCGGGACAGCTGTTTCCACGCGAGTTGCGTCAATCTGCAAGCCCTCCCCATGTCTAGTTATACTTCGCATATCAAAGTTCCGAAAGGCAACGCCGAAGTATTGTGATCTTCACCGCTGTACTTCCGCACTTTGCTTCCTTGCGGAAAACAAACCATCCAAGCTTAGGTAGATTGACACCGATTCTGGGTAGAGGCAAACATAGACTTTTGTACCATGCTCACACACACAGAAGTGGTTGATGAATCCTGTCTTTGCAACAAACAGTAATCGCCTTTGGCGGTATCAATGCATATGCATGCATGTGAGAGCTTCCGTTCGGCTTGCAAGCTCCCGTCCGACCGCTTCGTTACCGCCCAGGCCTACAGTTCCCGCCGTCAAACGTGGAGGAAAATAGGCCGGATGGAGAGACATTGCCAAGCTGGACGTCAATAACGCCTATCGGAACTTAGAGATTGTCTGCGCCATGGAGCAGATGCTGCTTGGGTATCCTAGCATGACTAACCCTTGCATGGCGGGTAAACGTCCATGATAACTCCCTCAAAACGTTTCGGCTTCCGCCCAGCGCGGAAGCACGTCCGCCCGCTTTCAGACACTGCTCTCAAGGTCGTCAAGAAAGTGTCGAGATCCGATTCGGTCTTTGTTTGAGCAACGAATCTTTGTCTGGCAAGACGAACCCGGTCTTCGTGACATTCATTCCAATGTGCGGGCAGAAAAGGTACGCTGACCAAATGGTAACTAAGTGGTTGGTCGATGTAGAGTACACCGTGCATAAGCTGAATTAGAGTTTCTGAGTAGATATTAGCAGTATATCTTTCCGAATACAGAAGCTGGCTCGACTAACTACTCGCTTTTTGGTAGGTATGCTATCTCGACACCAACGGTGCAGAGTCGCCATGCTTGCAAAACAAGGTAATACGTTGAGCAGACATACAATGCCGTTATCGCAGTATTGGGCCCTGGGTCCACGGCCACTATGTCTGCAAGGAAGCTCACAATCTGCATGGTTACAAAAATCGTGATAGCTAGTTAGATGCCATAGACTAGATCAGGAGGAAGCATCTGATCTTGGGTTTATGTTGTGACATGAATGAGACTGCCAATGTCCTGATGTTCCGAACCGGCCTTGACAGCATCATAACGGATACTGTGGCTTAAGAGTAGCCGATATTCCAGGACAACAGGCCTTACCCCAGAGTTCTACACTCTTGTTCTACTGTTCGAGCTTCAAGGCAGATAACTGTGCAAGCTCTTAAGGTACATCCTCAACAGTAGGTACATCCTCAACAGTAGGTACAGCCTATCAAAAACCAGCCCCTTCGTGGCCATCACTTTCGATTAACATGTTTGTCAGTCTTCTGCTTGCTACTGTCATTACTCCAAACATGTTTCGAACAATTTTGAACCAAGGCAATGGGCTGTGTAGATTGCAAATTCTGAACGATGAACGACAGCCTAGTTCTGCGAGAGATGTCCCATGGCCAGACCTTATAGCTGTTTATCGTCGAAATATGGTCCCGCTCTCTGTGTGGAGATCAAGACGTACCCCATGGTAACTAGAGTAATGTTGAGTCGTTAACGTGCTGTATATTCTCTTCAAACGTGTATCGTGGACACCGTTCTATGCCCGCATACTGTACAATATTATACACTCGTATGTATGCTTCCCTCCACCTTACAATCCCACTCTTCCTGTACCGCCTCGTTCCATCTTGTTCAACCGTCGTGCAGTTGCAATCTATGACCATTAGCCCATATGCCCACCACAATTGTTGCCTCGCCACTAGTATCGAACATACCTGTGTCCTTGTTCTCTGGCCCCTCACAGGCAAACCCATAGCATGTCTCCTTCCACGATATGTGCCCATATCCCTCAATCTTCGAATATCGTCCTGTACCTGCCGCCGCAAATCGTTCTCAATCTTCATGTTCGCCAGCTCGGCCGTCAGGTCCATGACTGTCGCATTTTTCAGACTGCCGACTTTCGCCCACGGGTGAATGTAGAATTTGGCCATGATGCGCTGCGAGACCGAGGGCCCGATGCCGAAGAAGGATTCGAGGGACCGCTTGACGAGCGTCGCTTCCGTGAAGCTGAAGCCGTTGATGAACACCTGAAACCGTCAGTGAGTTGCACACGAGAATAGTTAGGCGATCTAGTAGCGTACCATGGCGGATCAGCGTTCCGACGGCGAGTTCGCGTGTTGGAGTGTCAATTGTCTTGTCTGATCTCGAATCTCCAGACTTCCGTTTCTCACTAACCCCAAAAAGCGCTAGTGCGACGGTGCGGGCAGTCCAGCTCTCTACCTAGGTAAAACGCAACGTTTCAACACCTCTCCACCATTGCACTCAAGCAGGGGGCTCTCCAAACTATTTAACTCTGTGACTTCCCTTGGTTGTTTCCCAACACAATCAGGCATCATGGCTACTTTCCAACGAGCCGTCATTTCGCTCCTCTTGATTCTCTCGATCACCTTTGTCTTCTTTGCTCAGAGCACTGAGGCTGCCAAGGGACCCAAGATCACCCACAAGGTGTGCATAGCTCACAATTGACATGTGGACGGTCTTGCTAACTTCCACAGGTGTACTTCGACATCACCCATGGCGATGAAGAGCTAGGCCGCATCACCATGGGCCTTTACGGCAAGACTGTCCCCAAGACCGCCGAGAACTTCCGGTACGACCTCGTACAAACTTGTGTACAGCTTCGGGATCTAACAAATGCGATAGCGCTCTGGCTACCGGCGAGAAGGGCTTCGGTTACGAGGGCTCTACTTTCCACCGCGTTATCAGCAACTTCATGATCCAGGGTGGTGGTAAGTACAATTCTTAGTACATTTCCAAGGGATTTGCAATGCTAACTCTGTTTTAGACTTCACCAAGGGTATGTCAAGATAAATCGAGCCCCGCAATCCACACACTGACAACGATTAGGTGATGGCACTGGTGGAAAGAGTATCTATGGGGCTAAGTTCCCCGATGAGAACTTCAAGCTCAAGCACACCCGCAAGGGTCTTCTCAGCATGGCCAACAGCGGAAAGGTAAGAAATACAATGTATGAACTGCACTTGAAACATGCACTGACCGTACATGGATGATCTAGGACACCAACGGCTCTCAGTTCTTCATCACCACCGTCGTCACCAGCTGGCTCGATGGCCGCCACGTCGTTTTCGGAGAGGTCCTCGAGGGCTACGATGTTGTGGAGAAGATTGAGAACGTGAAGAAGGGACCTGGAGACAAGCCAGCCCAGACCGTCAAGATCGCCAAGAGCGGAGAGCTCGAGGTGCCAGAGGAAGGTATTCACGCGGAACTCTAGACATCAGTACGCATTCTTTGCTATTGGGTCGACCCCTCAGGTTGGAGAGCTGCTGATAGTTGTGCCCTTTCTTCAAGATCTATACGGAGCTGCTGAACCTGCCATTCCTGGCGACGAACTCGATATCACTGCGGCAACACCATCCAAGGAGGATATCGTCAACATTGCTGAGGTCACCCAGGCCTCTGCCGCCAAGTCCAAGCTCCCTGGTATGGCCGTTGCCAC